TGTTATCTCTCCACTATGGCTACCTAATAAAGAAAGTAAATTTACTTGTTTGGCCCTCTACAGGCTGCAGAGCCTTATGCACCCACTTGGATTGTTTATGTCTCAGGCAGATGAGTTGAAACTGAAAACCATTGTACTGAGATGGAGGTAGAAATCACAGCTGGAAATCTAAATAACTCAGCAGATAAAACCAGAACTAACTGTGGCTAGATCCAGAGTGGAAGAATATGTTGAAAGAGATCAACAAACTCTTCTTGCAGGTTTTGATCATAACTTACTGATGTCTAAGGACTGATCAGACACTTATTTGTAATGTAAGGAAATCTTAAATCCAAACCATCGTTGTACCTCTCCGTCAGAATGAAGCTTCCATCCTTCATGACAGGAACCTTCCTCATGATGCTGATCTTTCCAAACTCCTCGCTGTACTGCTGCCCTGAGACAAACACCAGCAAATGAGAATCACAGATGACTTAAAAAGACAAAAAAATATATAATATCTGCAAAATATCTGCTGTCAGTTTGCTTGGTGAGTTTATTTTACTCTCCCTCCCCTTTTCTTTGTTACCTATTTTGAAACGCTTCTCTTTGCTTTGCGTCCCTGACGTAATGTGACCAGATTTCTGAAATGAAATCGGAGACATTTTTGGTTTGGTGGTCAGTATATCATTATAAAATATAAGTTTTTGTATACAATTTTGGTTTTATAATCTGTCAAATATAAGTCTTCTGAATGAAATCAAGTCATTTTGAAGCAGAAACTACATTTTAGTCAATTAGAGGCTGCAGTCACTTTCTGGCAAGTAGAAAACTGCATTTTATGTGTTGTTTTGGCCATTTAAAGGCATTTTAAGAGGTAAAAATACTAGGTGAGTTTCTAATCTGTCAAATAAAACCCTCATGAATATAATCAAGTCATTTCAGGGCAGAAACAACAACCAGTTTCAGTCAATAAGTAGATGAATAGTTGCTCTGCTGGGCACTCTTTCTGGCCACATAAAATCTGATGTCAGGTCTCTTAAAACCTTATATAGTCCATGATTAACACAGTTAAAAACGGGCTCCAGACAAGGACAGTCCCCGGTTTTGGTGAGCCTTCCCTGAGGTGAAACTCAATCACCCCAGGGACGCAGGGATGTTTTTTCCCGGATGCTTTGACCTCCAACCTACGACATTCCACCAATTGTTTGTTTGTAAAGTTGGTACTCTAGGAGTTAATGTAACTCTACTCTTCATCTTGCTGGGTGAGTCTGTCAGCTTTCTGGGTGAAATGTGAAAAAGTAAACTGATCGCCCAGAGGAGTGCTGGAATGTTCAAGCTTACAGGATAAATTAAAATCCTGCAGGACGTTCAACTCACAATTCTTGCAAAATGTGTGTCCAGAGTTAGAAAGTCAAACACAAAGAGAAAACTATGTCTGCAAATATAACTATACAGATTTCTGGGGCTGGAGTTCATGCAACAAGTTCACAGTTTGCAGGCCATTAACTCCACACACCGGTGACTGTCTGTTCATTCCCAGAAGCTCAAAAGAAACATCAAAAGACGGACGAGAAAATACTGTAGCAGTCCTTACTATTTTAAGACAGAATGTGAATGAAAGCCTAAACCCTTTACTAAAACAACATAAATTCAAAAGTCTCATCCATGTCCCTGTGACTGTCTGGGGTGTGGGATTACCTGCAGCGAGGTCGACAAGCTTAAACTCAAAGGGAATCCTGACCGCTTTGGCAAACAGAAAGACGGAGCGGCAGGGCTGGGAGTGCAGGTCGAGATAGAGCTCCATCATGTCCGAGTCTGAAGGCTGCAGATTCTCTTTCCACCACGTTCACTCTGAGTTTTCAGTCCTCTCCTGCTGCGCCTGTTGTCCTCTGTCTGCCCAGAACTGCTCCTCTCCTCATTGTGAGGCTCACTGATTTCTAAATGGTGGCGACAGTTCAAAGTAAGTAGGCCATTGCGGTTGAGCAGTCTGACCTTTGGCCTCCTAGCTTAGCCCAACATTTTATAAACACAGCTGAGGTTATCACATTTTTATCTTCTTGGGGTTCCTCTAATCGAATGTAAAGTAATTAAATGCAGTCAGACATTAAAGTTCGACATCAAGTCAAATGACCAAATGGATAAAGATTTTTAAAAGAGACACAGTATGGAGAAGCTCGGGTGCCTTTTACGCAGCCGTGCGCATAAAGCTGCTCACCAATCACAGCCTGGATGAGGCGGGACATTAAAAAAAGGATGACACGCTACAGCAATCTTTTGAAATGTTGAACTCATTGTTCCTGTGGTGGTTTTGGTGGGGAGCCAACAGGGGCCAGTGCTCCTGTAACAGACCTTGGACCTAAACATTTGCATGAGTAAAAACGTGTACAAACTTGATATCACCAGCAACTTAGCACGTAAACTGATCTACTAACGGTGTGCACGCAGAATGACATCTTTCAAAAGTGCCAGATAGCAACAGTTGTTCATTTAGTACTTTTGCCTTAAGGAATATGCAATTTGGGGCGTAGCCTCTGTATTTAATACATTTGAAAGGAAGTCGCAAACTGCCAAGTGTTGCGCAGAGCCTGGCTTCTGTTACTGTTGCCAGAAGGAGACACAGCCATAATGAAAGAAAACGTAGAGAAATTAACATTAGATAATATTATTCTATATCCAATATATAGAAATACAGTTATTTTATTTATTCGATGAACTATATGAATAGATTTTTTTTTGTATTTTCCTTTAGCTTGGGCTGAAATTATAATAAACGCTAACATTAGCACCTAAGCAAACCTAACCACAGCGGTGTAATATCAGAAAACGGGTTAATTTGTGAAACAATTGATTTGTTGAATCTCAACTAATGTGTACATTAGTTATCTATCTGGAGGCAGACTATCCAAAGAAAGTGTAACCCGTAAAAACATAATATACAAACATTATCCTTTTTATTTAATTTTATATTTACTAATACACAAATCTATACTAGTTACTCCCATAGACTCTAAAAGAAGTGGATGTAGTCACTGTGACGTCACGCATTGTTTTGTAGACTGCTGTTTTTTGAAGCCTTGAGTTTGGCTGTTAGGCTGCCGCCATGGTAATATTTTGCAACGGGACGTGACCAGATAAATAGGCAAAAATAGGCTTAAAACAAAACGTCCTTGCTGGGAAAATGAACAGCCGACTCCTAATAAGCTTGTTCAACGGCGCTGGTTAATTTCATGGGGGGAATGGGGAGTACTGGCACTTAATCTTCCCACTTCAAGCACTGTCCAGTGCAAGGCACCAAGCTTACAATAAAACTCTAATTAAACTGTCGAAAATGGCAATGCTTATCAAATATGAATCAAGATCTGTCACTGCAATGCGTTTTTCTCGAAAACTCTGGGATTATTCATAGGGATTACTTTAATCAGAAAGTTTGCCAAATTCAAACCATGTAAAAACCACAGAAATATGTAATCACCACTACTCCGGCTAAATCCTTCCATTTTCACAAGCTTTCCCAAGTATACAACCAGACCAGCCATATAAAGGCTTATGTATATAATTACTATCATTATCTCCAGGCAGGCAGGCAGGCAGGCAGGCAGGCAGGCAGGCAGGCAGGCAGGCAGGCAGGCAGGCAGGCAGTGGATTAACATACAACGAACCAGCAACAGAACAGAAGTCACACACATTTAAACACTGGCTAACGAGGAGGGCGGGAGCACAAACAGGTGATTCTAATAATGACAGCAGACAGGCAGGGTGATGAACAGACAGGAACACAGACAGATACCAAACAGGCCCAAAGTAACAGAACTACCAACAAGACCACAGACAAATACCAACAGAAATGAAAGGACATAAGACAAGAATCCAACTGGAACTCAAAACACAGAACAGACAAGCAGGCAGAGGAATTCTGGAGGGAACAGACGGAACACTTGACAGGCAGACATGGGGCAATATAACCAACACAGACAGAACACATGTAACAAAATAGACAAGAAAGACAGAACAGACAAGAAACTAACCCAGACAATAACAGAAACCCATGTAAACAGACAAACCCTAAACGAGAACACAGAGTACCGAGCAGACTAAACCAAAATGATGCAGAGAAAGAACTAGAAACAAATACTACGACATGAACTAAGGCACAGGATTGGGAACAAAGACATGGAACCAAAACCGAGTATATAGCAGATTCTGAACAGACAAAACAATAACTCAGAGAAACTCAAAACACAAAAGACTATATAACTGATAATGGACACAGGACAGAACCCAAAACAATAAGACAGATACTAAACAGACTATAAATAACATGACTGACTGAAAACAACCAACTGACCAAAACAGAACAGACAAGCCAACAGTGTGACAGGTCAGGAAAACATCCTGAATGTAATACAATATTGAACAACTTTAACACTGAACCCTGCATCTCTGGGGTGCTGTAGCATTTCATTTTTAATGCTGCCTGGACCAACAGCCTTCCTTGGCAACAGAGATTCTGTCTGTGTGGTCAATTCTTTGCAAATACTCAAAATCAAGGAGGTTTGGTTGTCTTTAATTGTTTCCTCTAATGTTTTTCTTGTATAACACATAGTGCTGAATTAATGATCTCCCTCGCCTTGTGAAGCTGTCCAAGGTTCTGACAGGTTTGTTTTATGACAGATTTATCACCTGCAGAACTGGAGGTCTGATCTGACTATTGAATAAGCTTACCATTTATCTTTTAATGCTGTATTTCAGATAAGATAAGTTCCTTTCAGCTATGTGGAGTTGTTTTAGTTTCTAGGCCCTGTATGGATAGCTCTCACTGGAGGATGAAAAATGTTAATCTTTTCTAGACGGTGTTATTTAAACTGGCATTTGTCTCGCCACGTGCTGTCTAAAGTGTGCTTATGTGTGTGTTTTAAGGTCTGTTATTACTTATGTTTTATTGTTGTTTCTTTACTTTTTTTCTTTTCTTATTTATTTTACTCTTAAAGCACTTTGTGTTCTGTGAAATGTGATATATAAAATGAACTTTATTTACTTACTTCCTTAATGATGGTTAACATATTAAAAGAAACAGACAAGGAAGTATGAGAACATGAGACAGAATTTAATGAACATGTTTCCTGCTTGGCTGTTGAAGTTTAGATCTTGCAACAAAAACACGTCTCCTCCATTCATCCCGCGAGTTTCAGAAATTATTTTAAGGATGATGTGATAACCTCTTAGGCATGATCAGATTTACACTTTCAAATGTTACCAATGTTTTCTTATTATTATTATCTTATTATCTAACATTTTTAACAAATGCTTTCAAAAAGTGATGGGGACAAAATCAGACATTTTCAAAATGTGGTGGGGACATGTCCCCAGTATCCCCAGTGTAAATGACACTGCTCCAACACAACATTCTCATTGGGAAGATTTTAGTGAGAAAGTGAGAAAGTGCCAAACCTCAAGAAGGTAAGGCAGAATACAGAAAAAGGCAAGTGCTTTCAAATCCAGCCAGATTAACAATTAAAGGATAATTCAAGTTTAGTTCATTAGAGTTTGAGCTTCCTAGCAGTGGTTATAGTGTTTGCTACAGCCTTTATGATAAACTGATGATTTTTATAATGCATTAAAACTTCTTGGGGCAGAAACACCTGCTGATATGGAGAGAGAAAAAACATGCATCTTAAGATGTCTACCATCATGCCACTGGACCAGTTAATGTTTACTGGTCAATGTCTGAGCCAAGTATGTACAGTGTTTGTTCAATGACTCATGAAGCAGCTAAAGTATATAAACCTGAGGGAGACTGGAGTTGAATCAAGTGATGGACATTTGTAAGGTGAGTAATTTTTATTGTGTTTCATGTCTTCAACTCATGTTTCTGGTTTAGTACCACTCAAAATTAAATTATTATTTTTTAGATTTTAGTCTTTGATATCAAATTAAAAAAAAAAAAAATTGCTTTACTTATTCTTCTTCTAAGTAAAAAGACTACCCAGAATGTTTTGATGGCTCAACATTTCAGGTGGTGATTTTTTTTATATGCTTGGATTTTAAGGATGGTTTATGTTGTATTATAAACTGCAGGTAATTAAGAATGATTTTGTTCTTTGTTTCATCTCCAGATGAAGCTGTCAGTGTTGTTGCTGCTGGCCCTGCAGGCTCTGTCCTCAGCCAGTCCTCTGGACATTGGAAACAACACAGAGCAGAGAAATGGTAAACACAAAAGTTTTTTTTTTTTCATTTAATTGAACCATTCATTTTTCATTCCATTTCATCAAAGATCACTTAACCCAAGTCACAAACCAAGCATGTTTTCTCACTTACCCTTGTTTTTACAATGCAGCCATGCAGATAGTCAACCTTTGAGACCTTTGAGACTTTTGCCTCCACCCCAATACAGTGTGGTAAAAGAAATTGGAAAAAAGACAAGATATGCCTCTTTAAAAGTTAAAATATGTTTTGTATTTTCTAATCCTGTCCTTTTGTCAGTTATCACTTGTTTTATGCAAGTATGCAAAAATAATAAATTTTAAACATTTTATATAAAAACCCTATCTTTTCTCTTCCTGTGAAACCGTATGATATTTTTGATAACTTATCTTAAATGTTTACATAAATGTAAAAATGACATAAAATGTAAATCCAATCAAAGTATATAATTTGGGTAACTAGCTAACCATCCTCAGAGGACCATGAACGTACAATTGACTATCGATCTTATCACTGGTGAGACATTTCAGTGTGGACAAAAGTAGCAGTCCAAATGACAAAAAAGAAACCTAAAGTTTGGGAAGTGAACAATTAATGACCCCAGTCTTCAAAAATCAGAATAGAGCAAAACAATTAACTGATTAGTGATTTTAAATCTGCTTTGTTTCTCATTTCATAGCCAAGTTGTTTTGCCCTGTGTCTTGTATTAAAGCAAACATTTTCCTTGTCTGTGCATCCCCTTTCCTCAGTCTCCTTCATGAACTCAGATCCAAATGGCAGTCCTGAAATCACCACTAACAGATCGATGCTAACAGATCTACCTCTTCTGACTGTTGCTAAGCTAAGGCAGAAGAGACAGGTTCAGACTCAGTCTTCTTCCTTCATGTATGGTGATGGCTTTGACCTGGAGTGGGTTACCTGGAACAACTCTCTTCCAAACGAGGCTGTTTCGATTTACAATAATTATGTTGATCGCATTGATTATGTCTGCAAATACAGGTGTGAGGCTGGCTTTTATACACCCAGCAAGGGTCCTTATTGCCACCATACAAACACAAAAACAAAAAACGATTTTGAGCTCCTGATGAACAAAGACAACTTTGATATCCTGGAGTGGAAGGAGGATTCATACGGCTCAGTGCCCCAGAATTCAGTCAGAACCTGCCCTGGGAAGAACATATATGTAGGAAAGAACAAATATGGACTTGGGAAGGTGGTTACTAAAGATAAGGTATTATACCTGCCTTGGGAGGATTCTGAATATTGGTACAACTACTACCAGGTCCTGACCATCGATGAGAATATAATCAGTCAGCAGATCTACGATGTCAGGTACAATATTAATGATTCTAAGATATATCACTATCCTCCAGAGATTATGCACAAATCAACCCTCAGAAACGATGGATGCCACCCAGTGGTGAAGACAGATACCATCTCAAAGACATACCAGGTGGAGCAAAGGTGGGACTTCACCTTTGCTATCAAGATAGGTGTTAAAACGCATATGAAAGCCGGCTTCCCCTTCATCGCCTCTGTAGGTATTGAGATCAGCACAGAGATGATGTTCCAGTTCTCCGAGGGAACCACGGTGATAGAGGTCATCACTGACACTGTTTCTGTTGAGATCACAGCCCCACCAAATCACTCCTGCATAGTTAATATGATGCGGTCTAAGTTTAAAATGGACATCCCGTTCACAGCACGCCTCAGCCGCACTTACGGTAACGGGGAGATCCACACGACATCCATCACTGGGACGTATAACAGCGTTCAGATTGGAGAAGTTCGGGCCGATGTGGATCAATGTGAACCTCTAGAGAACTCTGAGCCTTGCATGTGAAACGCAAAAAGCCCCAGTTGATGTCTCTGTATGTTTGATGGGGGTGAGGGGTTGAATGCACTTTTTGTAAGCTCCTTTGGACAAAAGTCAAATTAATTTAATGTAATTAATAGAATATGACTATAAACAAGCTTTTAAAATCACATGGCATTTTAAAGTACCCTTTCAATCAAAAATTGTGTTTTTCTTGTTGTTATTTCACTTGGATGTTTAAGCTTTACTGTTTTTACATTCATCGGCTGAAGAGGGAAAATTATACTGTGCTCACATAAATTTTTCACATTTTGGTTTAATGTGTTGTAGAAAGCTCTGGCACACACACTTTTGGAGACATCTTGTGACTAGAAGTTTGAAATTATTAGCATATTGATATATAATGAGTTTTATTTCCATACTACTACTTCTATCTCCTTGGATCTGGTGTACACTAATATTAATGCATGTAAAAAAAATCAAAGTTCTTGTACTTTTATCCAAATGCGTGTACCACTGTAAGTCAATCAAACTATGACTCATTGCCAATAAAACTTAATAAAGAGACAGCCAAATGTTTGTCAATGTTTACCCTGCTCAGAATGAGTTTGTAGTATGGGTTTGGGTCACAGATTTTTCACTTCAGGGAGAAGGGGGAACATTTTGTGGAAAATTCATACCAGACACAAATTATTATTCCAAGCACTGCATTGATATGTCTTAAAACATCTGGAGAGGAAACTCTAGTAACACAGATGAACACACACTGCGTGTCCAATTTTATTCTTTATTTAAAAGAATACATTTTAAGTTTATGTTTAAATAGTTATTAGTTGTTAGTATGTGTTAATTTCTATTGAATATAATAAATACAATGTACTAAAAATACTAATCAGTTTGAATGGTTCAATGAGACTAATTTATGTTATTAGAGTATTATTATTGCTGCATTCTCAGGGCCATCTTATTTTGCTACCAGGTGTGGTGATCAGCTAGAGATCATTCAGTGCCATCTGCTGGATATATTGGATATTTCAGCTCAGTGAACCTTTATTGTCCTTCATTGTTTACAGTTTACTAAACTAAACGAAAAAATACTTCTTGGTATGTTATTGATCAGACTACACATATTTTCTGTGTGCTACAGCTTAATTATACTCAGCCAGCAGAGATATGTATATGGACACATGGAGAAACATCACCACACCACAAGACATTTAAATGAAACAATAATACAAATAATAATACAAACAAAGAGAAAATGCAGTTATAAGGTAAATACTGCCACTGTGTATTCCCACAGGCTTTATACCTTTTGATTCCGTTCCTTTATTTGTGACACTTTTTGATGCAACATGTAGTCCAAAAACTGACAAAAGACATTAAAAGATTATGAGATGACTCAAAAATCTAGTTTCATTTGATCAGCTGAAGGTGTTGTGAATAATTTTTACACGACAAAGGGAGGTAAGGTTTTTAAAACAAACATTTTGCTACCATCGGATTGGAGTTTTAGGAAAAAGTACAAATCTTTGTTACAATTAATTTTAAGAATTTAACAAACAGTATTTTTAGCAAAATATTCAATGACAATTTTAATCTTGTACTGTCCAGAATATTGTGCTAAATTCAGATAAAGAAAACAAAAGAAGGAAATTTTGACCGACAAGCTTTTTGAACTCATTGTTCAATCCTATAATGTCCATGTAGTTCAGTGGGAGACAGGTGACCAGTGTTGGACAAGATACTTGAAAATATGATGAATTACTTGTTTTTTACATTATTTATTGTCTTTCACAAAAGGAAGAACATTCATTTTTCTAATAATGCAACAGTAGAAGAATTAACAACAAACTTTTCTTGCACTGCTTTTATAAATAATAAACCAAAGTAAATGATTCTTTAAACATCACAGAAATATATTATAAGAAAACCTGTGTGACCTGCAAGTGATGTCTTTTTCTTGAATAGAATGAATTTTAGCTTGAATGTTTCATTATTTATTTTTAATTTTTAATGTAATAGTTTATTATCTCATCCTTAATAGCCTGTGTTGAGATGATTCATGTTTACAAATGTCAAAAATCTTGATTTCATGATTTTCCATCTCATTTCGTTAAATGCATGTTTCCTGGACTCCTCTCTCCTCGTGTCTCCTCCTCCAGCTGGCATCTCAGGTAGTCTCTGTCTCACACTTGATATCATTCACAATCACTAACAACAGGCCCGGCGCCAGGATGAAGTGACTGAGGGGGCAGTTAAAAATGGCGAGGGGGCAAATCTGTTTTTATATATCAATACACAGGGCGTTTTACTCTTTTTTACGGCAGAAAAAATGGTCTGTGCTCCGGGCGCATGGTTCAAAAGGGTCATAGGCCTACTTAGTTTGTGATAACATGCAATACAGCAACCAAACACTCTGTCCCCATTAGCTTTCAGTCGAGACTCTGGAACAGACAGCAGACCTCTGCCCGAGGACTTCAAGGTACGTGCTGGTATGTATGGGTCTAAACGGTCAGAAATATAACAAGGTGAAAGGCTTCATGGCTATAGAGTCCAGGCTACTGGAGTCCAGGCTACTGGACTACCTCCTCCAATCATACGCACGCATTTGCCCACTGAAATTTTTATTATGTACTTAGCCGACCAATAGGACGTCGCTACCGATACATGCGTGACATATAAATAACAGTGTCCCTACTGCCTCAGCATCCGACCACAGAAGGTCACTGGACCAACAGGGGCTTGGCCTGACCATTAACACCTGCACTGCCCTGACTTCTCACTGGAAGATCAGGCACTGCCAGTGGATGTTCCCCCTCTACACCCAGTAGTCACCTGATCCTCACTTTTCAGATCCTAGGTCGCACTTTGGGAGCAGGATCCTGAGAAGGAGCCCGACATATCCAGATAGAAACGCACAAACAGGCACATTAAGGGCCAAGATTGTCTGAATCCGGCTGCACTGTGCTCACCATGAAGCAGCATACAGCTAGGGTGGACCGACAGGCACACAGCACACTCTCCTTCTTAGCAGAGGTGAGAGCTAGCAGCAGGGCTGTTTGAGAGATAGCATTTTCAATGAGGACTGCTCCAGTGGCTCATACGGTGCAGACATTAGAGCTACCAGCACAAGCAGCAATTCCTACTGAGGCGCCGATCGCTGTCTTCTCACACCCTGCAGAAAGCGTATCGCGAGGGAGTGGGTGAAGACTGTTCTGTCACCAAACCCCCCGTGACAGGAGAGATGCAGCGGGACAGCCCCTTCTCCATCAGACCTTGCAGGAAAGAGAAAACGGATCCCACCGAACAGGTAGGCAGATCTGTCTCCCTCTCAATGCATCAGCACTGAAAGCCCAACCACTTAGCTTTACAGCAAGACGTGGTGGAGACTGCCCGCCGTTTGGATGGTATGTACGACCTCCGCGGATAGACCAGCCCGAGTCTACCTCTCCCTTTTAGGAGCAAAACCTGGAGAGGCTGGTCCAACACCAAAATTGTGCATATGAAGCCTCACCCTTGCAACAGAGTCTCCCAGACCAGAGGTACAGGCCCGGGATTTGTCACTGTAGGCTGCGTCACTTCTACAAGAATGACGAATGACCATTCTCACCTAACTGATGGGGGGGGGGGGGCCTGGACTCGTACGGGGTCACCTCACCCAGGTGAATTCAGTGAGCAGTTCACCGTTTGCTGAAGAAAAAGGGATACTGAGGCAGTAGGGACACTGCTATACGCTATGCTTATACGTCACACACGTATCAGTAGCGACGTCCTATTGGTCGGCTACGTGCACAACAAAAATTTCAGTGGGCATGAAACTGAAGGTTTATGTGCATGTGTAACACGCATCCCCAATACATTAATGTATTCCGGCAATTCAGTATCCTGTTGGTTGGCTGTGTGAAGCTGAAGGTTATCTTTATTCATTTGGCATCTTGCTTGTGAAACAAAAAGTATTTAAAGCCCCCCTCCAGTGTATTTTGACAATTCTATGATATTTCATATATTTCTTAGTCATTTCCTTACAACGTTGATTACCCACGTAGTACGCCAAATATTTTGTGACAAATAGCTTAATTTTGTGCTCAAAGTTGCAAAAATTGCTTAGTTGTTCAAACGGGGTGGTGATGTATGACTATAGTAATTCCATAAGTCATACGTCCAAGCTTGCGCAGGCGCACTATCATGCCTCGTTAAAAAAACTGTCATGCCATCATGCCTCGTTAAGTCAGAGCATCAAACCAATGAACATCGTTGTGAGCTAGCTAACCAATTTATCATGTAATTTACTTAGAACTTAAGTAGGTATGTCTCTGTGTCTGATTGTTGGTTTGTCTTTCTAGTTTAGTTAGCTAAAATAACTAAGTTGAAGTTAGCCAGTTGTAGTTAGCTACCATAGTTATTGCAGAAAGTTAGCTAACAGAGGGTCTTCATTTTATTTTTTAGTTTCCTCCTCCTCCTCCTCCTCCTCCTTGGTTTAGTGTGCTGTTCATTTTCATTATGGCATTTGTCCGTGCGGTGTTGGAGGACAGAAAACGCGTCGCACTTTCACCTGCCACCGTCTCATATACAGTCTGCAACATGCATTTTACTGACTGTGGCCCAATGCCACAGTTTAGTGTGAAGATTTTTGTTGATTTTATAATGTATACATAATACTAAAATAATTAAAACGATTTATTTCCTTTTGAATAATAAACAAATTTATGAAACTATGTCCCTCTCCTTGGTGCAGTCATTTGTTCTAAATATATACTTGTATCATAGAAAGCATGCACATTGTGGCATAGTGTTCTTGTTCTGTTGCCTGCTCCTGTGAATACTAAAGTTAGCCCTCCGCTAACTTGAATGTAAAATTGTATATGTGCAGCTGTCATTTCGCTGGGGTTGTGACGGTCAAATATATCGATCCACTGTGTTACAGCCGCTGGTTTGACCGCTAGAAAAATTTACTTTAAAGCACAGTGCATTTCCTGCCGGCTCGGAGGCATTGCAGGGTTACCCAGCCAACCAATTACAGTTCTTATGGTCTGTGTTGCCCCGACGTGTAGTTACATTTTTGCGGAGGTGCACGTCAGGCTACAGCGTAGGGTACTGCGTAGGGTACGGTGCTACGCGTAGGCTACCCCATCGGTTCAATGAAGAAGTATAACCTACACTTAAAGAAGACCGTGGTTTCCATGTAAATTGATTAGTTTGTAGAAAAGTACAAATGTTGAGTATTAAATAATTGCTCGTGTGAGGGAATTAAAATAAATTGAAAGGAAGTCAGAGTTGTGTTAATATATTTAATTTTTTGTTTAAAAATTAAATTATGAGAAGTGCCCTTTTTTCCCCCTTGAGCCCCTGCCCACCAAAATGTCTGTGCACGTCCCTGCTCATCCCTGACATTTCAGACAATATTACTAGTAATCACAGCACTTGAGAAAATTTGTGAATTTGGCCTCCCTAATTCAGCAGGTTTTAATTTCAACAATTAGCTAAATGTCCAATTTGGCCCCTGCGGTGCGATGATCATTCATGTAGTAATTCTTGTTGTAATGGTTTTTGGTATCATCTTTAGTTTCTGTACCAATCCTTGTACGCGAGCCTTACTTTACAAATTGATAAGCTGGATAATTGGAGACAAAACACTGTATGTGAAAATACCAGTTGAGCAAAGTAAGCATAATGACCAAGACACAACATATTATGTTGATACTTTGACACGTGACAAGAGAGGAAATGTCAGAATTTAACTCTGGATGCTAATGGACATCACCATTAGCATATTTCTTTGTTACTTGAGAGGATTTGAGGGGAGAGATGTTGAATGTCAGGAGAGAACAGTGTCCTTCTCTCAGTGCAGCACGTATAAAGAATTGATTCGCCATATTTTTGACTCTGTAATCTTTCTTTCTTTTTCTCACAAGCCACAAGCCTTTTCTCTCTCAAAATGCCATCATCTACCTAAAGGGAGGATTAGTTTTTCAGATTTAAACCGTAATTGATGGATAACCGACAGTTGAGTTCTCACTGACTGCCATGCAAACCTTCTCTCCCCAAGTTTTTAAATTGGAAACATGATATATATCGCTCAGCTACTCAAGCTCTAACTAAAATTGTCAAAATCACAGCCGAGTGCTTTATTCTGAAAGCAAAAGCACCTTTTTTATCAACAAACAATTAAATTGTGATAATCATTAACAGCCCACTTCTTTAGATCATTTTTATGGGCATCAGCCTTAAAGGCCCCACTTCATAGTTCCAGACATGGGTACAATTCCCACCTCGGGTGACAAAATTGATTGGTCGAAGCTTGTGTGTTTGAACCTAATGGCTTCAAATGTTGCATTCGTACTGAGTGCAGTAGTTAGTATTACATTTATATATTGTCTTTCTAAGTGTAATCATTATTTACATGGACATTAGTGTTTCTGAAATGCTTTACTAACATGTTTCCTGCTTAGATGTTAAAGTTTGGATCTTGCAACAAAAACAGATCTCCATTCTCCATGCAAGTTTTGAAATGATTTTTAATTCTGGTGCTTAATGATTTCAAACTGAAATTACAGCTACCAGCAGCAGAGACAAATTTAAATTTAACAGTGACTGCATGATTGGCCGATGGAGATCAATGCAACATCTGGTTGGTTACAAGAGTAACCCATAGTTAGCTGATTAAAGGAGCAGTATGAAAGAGAGTGTGAATGAATGATATCAGGATTGGCCGAGTGACAGTTTTAGACCCAAAAGCAAGACACCAGAGAGCACAGAACACAGTTTGTGATATTTATTTCATTACAGAATAACTCAGGGCATATACAAAGTTGTGCCGCTAATAGCCAAACAAAGGTGAGTTCATACAGTGAAGAAACAACAGGCAGAATACTCAAAAATCCACAGTTGAACACACAATTGAGACACTTGGCAATGAGGATACAACAACGACTGAACAGAACTGAGCACACTGGGGCTCTGGTTAACTCACCACTAGAACACACGCCCCATGTGCAGAGGCAGAGTCCTCGCCACAGCGGCCCGGATTCAAGTCCTTTGCTGCATGTTGTCCCCTTTCTCTCTCTCTTGCATATTTCCTTACTCTCAGCTATCCTATGTAATAAAGCCAAAAAGCCCAAAAATATATTTTAAAAAAAGAACTGAGCACATGAAATACAGTGAGGAGTGGACAAGTGGAACATATTCATTTAGCTGACACTTTTATCCAAAGCAACTTACAATTGCTGTACATGTCAGAGGTCGCACGCCTCTGGAGGAACTAGGGATTAAGGGACACAATGGTGGATGGGTCGCAGTGGGGAATTGAACCCAGGTTTCTCACACCAAAGGCATGTGTCTTATCCATTGCACAACAGGAACATTAACACCACCGGAAACAAAGCTAAACATGTACACCAGACAGATGATTACAAAATAACAGGAAGTAAAGCTACAAACAAGACCAAGGATGGATGTAACCAAATACAACAGAGGACAACAGGATAAGACTAAAAACCATAACAAATGAAGCATAAAGATAATCTTCCTGGTTTAACTTACGCTGAGATTCATTTGGTGTAAAGAGAAGTATTTGAAAAGTCGGGAAATGGTTAAATTTTTTATATGTTAGTTAATTTGTTAATTCCATAAAATACAACACACTCTGCTATTTTACTGTAAAATAAACTCTATAACTTTGTTTCAGAATGTGCTGCGTATATTTATTGTTATTCATCCAAATGTGAACAAGGTTGGCTTATTCAAACCTCAAAAATATTAGTCTAAAAAGTGTGACCCTAAAACTGATTTCAGTAATGCCGAATTTAATCTCACATGTTCTATTCAACATGTACAATGATTCATTTTGTATCACAATTTGCTTTTTATGAAACACATTGTGATTCAGGATCAGCTTTTCATCAGACTTTTTAATGCACATTATCTTAGTATCTTTTGGGAGCAAGGTTTGGCATTAGTTAAAGGTTTGCATCGGTCCACCACAGCTTGGATATCTCCAACCTGGACACCTTCGTACGTCCCAGTGATCAGTGTCCAAGTTTCTTCTCCGTTGCTGTAGGTGCGGCTGACGTGTGCAGTGAAAGGGATTTTTGTCTTGTACTTATATCCCACCAAACGGGTACTGCAGTAGTGGTTTGGTTGGATGGTGACCTGCACAGAAGTAGAGTAGGAGGACTCTTCTGTTACAGTGTGTCCTCCTGAGAACTGTAATGACACATCAGCGCTGATCTCAATACTTCCGGAGGCGATACCGGGGACTCCTGCTGTGAAGGTCTTCTTAATACCAGCCCTGATGGAAGAGCCAATGTTCCACGTTTTCTGCAGCCGATTTGTAACTGAGAGAGAGACACTTTTTGACACTTGCTTGCACTCATTATTGGTGATGGCAGAGGTGCGCATGGTCTCTGGGGGATACTTGAATAATGTAGCGCTTTTTATGTTGTACTTGATGTTGGACATGTGCTCGCTGTATACATCAACGTCATAGGCCAGGACCTTGTAACTCTTCTTATACCAATACTCAGAACCTTTCCAGGGAAGGTAGAAGGCCTTATGCTTAACATGTACCTTCCCGAGACCATAAACGTTCTTCCCAACATATATGTCCCCTTTGGAACAGGTTTTGACTGAATTTTGGGGCACTGAACCATAGGAGCCGTCCTTCCACTCAAGGATCTCAAAGTTGTCTTTGTTTACTAGAATCTCAAACGTGTTGCTTTTAAGCTCTTTCTTTTTATAGGGGTAGTGGCAATAAGAACCCATGGCGGGGCTGTAGAAACCGGCATCACACTTGTACTTGCAGACGTAGTCAATGCGACCAACATATTCATTGTAAATCGACACAGATCCTTTAGGGAGGGTGCCGTTCCAGGTCAGCCATTTCAGGTTGGCGCTTTTATAATTTAAGTTGGGAGGTTGAGCCTGTCTCTTCTGTCTCAAGATAGATGAAGAAGGAAGAAATCGATGTGTTAGCATTGTTCTGTTAGAGATGATTTCAGGAATCCTGTCCTCTGGACCTTGGTTCAGTATGGAGACTGAAAAGGCATAGACACAATAAGTTAGTCTCATGGGTCTGCTGGACGGATCGTATGTTGTTGCTATTTACCTTTGTGAAATATTAAATGATGTAAAATGTATGATGCTTTCATGCACATACATGCATTTTGAGAACCATGAGCACTATGAACTGAAATGGTATGCAACATATTTCCTCCTAAGGTGTTTTGCGTTGTTTTAGCAGATAGTGTATGACCTCTCAGTGGAAATAGGATACAGGATAATTTAAGTGTCATTAGTCAGATAGCATTAGCTTGAACTGTCAGACATTTTATCATGTTTTTAACTTCATACCCTTTTGTGCTATATTGTATTGTACTGCAGAAAGATCTGCTGAAAGCATTTTCCCCATCTAATCTGGGTGAAGAAATAATACTTTGAAACTCAAAATAAGGACCTTTGGACTTGATTAAGAAACCTCAAAAAAGAGAAATTCCCAATGCCAGTTGCTTTTTACCATTTGTGTGCTGTGAGCTCTTCTTTACAGTGTCCTGAAGACTGGCTGAGGACGGAGCCAGCAGGACCAGAAGAAACAACACTGGCAGCTTCATCTGGAGAAGAAACACAGACAAAAATGTTTATTAAACAATTTTAAACCCAAAGTCAACATGTTTTTAAACCAGGTTCAGTAGGTTCATTCATATGACTGGCAGCAAAAAAAGAAAACAACAAAATCCCTCCCTAAGATTATTCGGCAAATCTTGGTCCTCACAGGAATATTTCAAAATTCACTTTCTTGGTGAGAGATAGCAGAGATTAAGATTAATACCACTCTCATACCTGTCCGGGAAATTATATCAATATAACATTTTATAATTAATATATTAACATTCTACTACTACTAATAATAATAAAATAAATTTTATTTCTATAGTACTCAATGACACTTTACAATAAAACCAATACATTTAGTACATTAAAATAGCACCACCATGCTTTGATGGTGATAACAAGAATTGCATGCATTTTTATCTAAGTGAATTAGTGATGTATCACCCTCACGCATCACCATACATCAATAACAGCCATATTTTTACACGATCGATGCTGATGGTGATATATAGATGGTTTATTAAGAACTGGCTCCCCTGTAGTTCGCACTTACTGGTCCTCTATTGGGAATTATTATAGAATTATTAACAATTCATCAACAATCATGTCTTTTCTGATTTGTTCCTCATTGTTTCTTAACTACCTCCTACACTAGTACTAATCATTAACTAATCATTATCTACTTTATAAAATTTGATCAGGAGTTACATATCAATTAATTGTTCACTAACAGTTAGTTTCTTATTCTTTCCACATTGTTAAAATTGTGTGTCTCGTATTGTAAATCTTTATCGTTTTTAAATGCTGCAACCAAATTTAGTAGCTAAGTCACTAGTATGAAACTACTAGAACTTTGGAAGGACTTTACCAGCTCTATATCTCCATATCATGAGTACAGTGGTGTTAACATGTTTCAAAGGTATGCTGAACTCAACGTTTTTAACTCTCTATGGTAAGGTGTTGCCTCTGGGCAACATACCCATTTTTGGCCTAGTACACCTCCACCAAACATCCCAAAATATGATGCATTACTTTAAAAGAATTACAGGGCCTTAAGGAAACCAATAGCAGTGTTAAAAATTTGTCACATGATTCTCTGGCACCCATTATGAATCTTTTTACTGCTGCTTTTGACATATGGTTCAGCTCCACCTTCTCTCTGCACTAAACCTCAAAACAACATTTTTATGCCATTTTTTGACCAAGAAAAATTATATTCACACTAATAGGCAAGTCAATTTTCATTATTAATTGTTTAATATAATTTATTTAATAATTATATCATGCAAAATAGTTAAAATGCAAATGTTGCCTTGAGGCATCATACCATTATGGAATCCTGCCATGCCATTTTTTGGTGTTGTGCATTAGGTTTATGTACTGATCAAAAGCACAACAGTTAACATAATTTTCTCTCATTTTATGAGCCAAAGACGGCTGCGAGGTTACATATGTCTGAAATGGCACCAGAAAACTGAAGACACACATTTAAATCACACAAATGATGAATTGAAGGTAAGGTAGCTCTGTCTTGATTTTCAGCATGTTTTTGATGTTTGGATGTAAACTTTGTTGAAATATGTCTACTCTCTTTTTTACATTCATTCCTGTAGGCAGTTCCACAATGGTACAATGTTGCCTGAGGGTAACGTTTAGACAAACAAACCTATGTAAAGAATTTTTTTTTATATTTTTAAATTTAAAATGATTGTATTTTAAACTTGTAAAGCCATTGAACATTATTTTAAGAAATTTTATTCAAACTTTAAATAAAACCTCTCTTTTTCCATTCTTTACCATTATGGTACAGTGTTACTTTAAGGCAACATAGCCAAAGCTTACCCCCAAAATATTTATTTAAATTATGTTTACTTGGTCCATTTAATGATAATAAAACACAACAATATTTTTTTTACCCACTGGCAAAATAATGTGTACCAGAGGGTTAAGAAAAATGGGTGAAATGTTTTATACTACGTCGCCTCTTACGTGCCTTCCCCTCAAACATTTTTGCAAAAAAATGTTTTAATAAAAATGTTCATGTGTGTGTGTTAAACCAAAGCTGAATACTTAATGAATGAAATACACTAAGGTAAATATACAATGAAATAAAGTACACTTACCATAATAGTCACTAGGCTTGGCTTGAACCGGACACAGCAAAGTCTCAAGGCTCAGTCACCCAGCTCTACACCTCAGTTCATTTAAGGAAAATAATAACCCCACCCCTCCCCCCACACACGTATTTTTTACTTCTCTATCAGGAACCTGCGGTTAAGAACCGCAGGTTCCCATTATCTGTTATCTTCTATCTATTATCTGTTAGGCAAGATCCAATGAAGTATGTGTACTTTTATGTGACTGCTACTCTCTATTTTTCCTTGATAAGTTTTTTTCACTATAGCTCATAAAAATAAATAAATACATAATACATGTGTAAATATAGGTTTTAAATAGTAGGACATGTTTTGAATTGTTACATAACCTACATGCATTGTTGGAAGGATTACACTGCGTGCGCGATTATTGGTCAGTATTCTAATCATTATTTGTATGCACATTTTCCAACTCCAAACCACATAAACTTTAATGTTCATTTGAGTTAATCTTTTTCAGGTATTATGTATTTTGCCTGTCAGACGGATGCAACACTCTTGAAATAGCTAAACTTTTGAGGTGTGACCACCGGACACACCTCAAAAGTTGCTAGTAATAGTCAATTTGAGCGCAAAAAGGATATGGAGAAAATGTGGTCAGTCCACAGAGACACTAGCCATGTGGTCTTCATTAAAGTAAATGAGGATTTAGAAAAATATGCACAAGACTATTTGATCAGTAGAAGACCTCTTTCACATTGGGTGAAATAGTAACACACACACACACATTATGTGCAGAACATTCTCTACTGTAATGGAACATTTTTTTTAAACTGCTTGACTTTTTACTTCTCTGTTAAATTTGCATGACCGCTTTGTCGGGTTTAAGTTCGTTTACCCATTGCTTTAAGGGAAGTGATAACGGGAACCTGCGGGTTTCTGTCATCTGTTATGCAAGAACCATTGAATTATGTGTACTTTTATGTGACAGCCGTCTTCTATATTCTTGCTTGATGTATAAAATTATTCAGATGAAGGAGATCTTTGCTTTTTGGCTGTGGAGACCCTTGATCTCAGTACGCCTTAAGCCATTTTCAAATGTGAAATAAACTTTTTAAAGTTTTTAATAGCCTACAGATTACCAGCGACTCGTCACTTTGAAGGCCTACAGTTGGTGGTCAGGCCAATGGCAATGATGGCAGAACCGGATTGTAGTGGCAACTTTTAGAACTTCTTTTGCCACTATCGCAGGACATAAAGTTTCTGACTCGTGCTTTCCAAAGAGGGCAAGACTGTATAATCCAGCAAGGCAAGGCAAACGTAAGAAGAAAATTATCCAACGTTTTATTTGACACACAAAAAAAACACTAAAGTTACAAAATAAACGTCTCCAGCAGAGTCCTAAATCCTATGTGTTCTATCAAACGTATTTACGCACAGGTAACTTCTGAATTTCCAATTGCTATGACACGACGGTCAGAAAATTGTTGCTCCATGTCTTGCTTGGCTGTCCCTTTCTTTACCGCAGCACGTGCCAATAGGTGTTCTCACCTAATTTTTACTACACTTAGCTGCACTTCTGTCTGAGACAAACATAAAATATTACTTTTTCTTAATGGCTCTAACACGGATACTTGCCGATGAGATGCTCCCAGGGTCCCTTGGGATTTAACTGGTATCAGCGGGAAACATTTTCAACGTGGGCTAGTGCTGATCTGTTGCTCAGAGTTTGTCTGAAGTCCTCTTTGTTACTGAGTAGATACTCGTTTGAATACTTCATAAAACTCTGTTTGCCGTTCAGTCATTAAAGGTAAATCCAAACAAGATAAGGTTTCAAAAGGAAAATGGTTGGCTTCTTCTTAATCAAAAGATACGTAAGGTAAACAAGGTAATGACTATAAACAAAACAAAGATAAAAGTTAAAATAGCACAACAACTTAAGGTTTGCATGATCTCAAGAATAAAATTAAATGTTGCTGAAGGTGTTTCAAAGTCTAGGGAATTTTGTCCCAGAGACTTTACAAATAGGCAAATCAAATTTCCTGCTCTTGGGAATTAGACAAAGAAGGATGGACAATTTAGAAGTCTCAGACTTTTTTTTCCGGGCAGAAGTTTGTTAAGAGAGTGTAAGGGTAAGTCATGTGCAGTTATAGGCTTCAAGTCAAAACAGTAATCCTAACAGATAAATGGAATAAACAGCCTAACTAAATAAGATCAAAGGAAATACACATTCTGATTGTAAAGCCCTGGACATACTAGCTGTTAACTACACGTTCACGTACGCAAGATGGCTGCCACGCGTATCCTGGGTTCCTCTGGAGCGTTGGTTGTGCACGGCTCCTAAATTAACGCTACGCATCCGCGAGATGCAATTCAGTATGCAGTTGGTTTGCCAACCGTCTAAAGAAATTAAGAAGACGGTCGGCAGCAGACTTGAAAAAAGGAGATTTGTGGTGGGATGTTTACAGTAAAACTCCTGGAGCTAGTCCGCAATTACTGACTTCATTATGATGTCTCATTAAAATCATAACCTCCTCAAGTGTCGCTGTCTTTGGTTTGTTTACGATGTGCAAATTCGGAGGTTGTCAAGGAAGATAATAGTGGATTCACGTTTAATCCTCCAGGTACATGCAAAGTATACAGGCAAGTATGTGGATAAAGCTTGATTTATACTCCTGTGTAGGGTCTACCTGCATAGCTACACCGTAGGCTATGCACGTAGCCATGCATTTATGCTTGTGCGCCAGTGTCCCCGTCATTCTGCGAGTACACCCCCAAACGCTTGTCGGCGGTAGCACTACAGCGTCCACTGTGTTGACTTTTGCCGGCCGAGCAGGCTAACTTCCGGTTTAGCCCTCCGCTAACATGAATGGGGGTAAAATTGTATACGTGCGGCGGGTGTAGCCTTTTCAAATGTTACCATCCGAATGGATCCCATTCTGTCATTTCGCTCGGGTTGTAACGCTCAAATATATTGATCCACCGTGTTACAGCCGCCGTTTTGGCCGCTAGAAAAAGTTACTTCAAAGCACGGGCACTTCCTGTTGGCTCGGAGGCATTACGGGGCTACCGACAACTCGACATGTTGTTACATTTTTGAGGAGGTGCACGTCAGGCTACGCCGTAGGTGACGCCGTAGGGTAGGGGGCTATGCAGAGGCTACGCTGGTTGATTTGATGCAGAAGTATTAATTGCAAGAAAAAGCAAGTATGTCAGGGCCTTTAAACACTACTTAATAGTAGAATAGAAAAATAGCTGAAACAAGAAATCAGGTCACGAACAACAGTAAATAAAGATGAAATGAAACAAAGGATGATCTAGTTACGAACCCATTCTCAAACTTTAACCTACAATTACTGTTCTCCATAATTTCTACTGATAAAACAGGATATTAGGGAAACTAATTAGAAGCAGAACAAAAGACAAATTACTTTTTTAGTGGGTGAGTGACTGATATGTATGAATGTATATATATATATATATATATATATATATATACTATATCTCACAAAAGTATGAGTATACCGCTCACATTTTTGTAAATATTTTATATCTTTTCATTCTTTTTCAACACTGATAAAATGACACAAGTAGTGAGTCTACAGCTTGTATATGTATTTGCTTTCCAATCATAATAACATGTCACACAGCCATTAATGTCTAAACTGCTGGCAACAAAAGTGAGTACACTCCTAAGTGAAAATGTCCAAAGTGGGCCCAATTAGCCATTTTCCCTCCCCGGTGTCATGTGACTTGTTAGTGTTACAAGGTCTCAGGTCTGAATGGGGAGCAGGTGTGTTAAATTTGGTGTTATCGCTCTCACACTCCCTCATACTGGTCACTGGAAGTTCAACATGGCACCTCATGGCAAAGAACTCTCTGTGAAAAAAAGGATTGTTGCTCTACTTAAAGATGGCCTTGGCAATAAGAAGATTGCCAAGACCCAGAAACTGAGCTGCAGCACTGTGGCCAAGACCATTCAACTGGACAGGTTCCACTCAGAGCAGGCCTCGCGATGGTCGACCTGCAAGAAAGTCAATTGTCTGCCTTTTAACAGCCGAGCCGGGAAAAATTTTAAGCCAGTCACGTCTTGGACAACTTGGCTTGAACTTGACACAGTGCAGTCGCAAAGCTCAATCACCCAGCTCTTCACCTCAGTTCATTTAAGAAAATATTAACCCCGACCCTTCCCACACACACACATTATGTACGGAACATACTAATGGAAAATGTATTGATGTGATAAACGTCGGGTTTAAGTTCCTTTACCCATTGCTTTAAGGCAAGAGAAAACAGGGAACCTGTGGTTCTTGACCAGTTCTTAACAGATAATTGGAACATGTGGTTCTTAACCAGTTCTTAACAGATAATTGGAACATGTGGTTCTTAACCAGTTCTTAACAGATAATTGGAACATGTGGTTCTTAACCGCAAGTTCCCATTATCTGTTATGCAAGAACCATTGAATTATGTGTAACAGCCATCCTCTATTCTTGCTTGATGAATAAAATTATTCAGATGAAGGAGGTCTTTGCTTTTTGGCTGTGGACACCCTTGATCTCTGTACGCCTGACCATTTTTTTTCACAATAGCTCATAAAATAAATAACAATATAATAAATGTTACACATTGTTGAACAAATTTAGGCCTTAAATATTAGGATAAATGTTGAATTGTTACATAACCTACAAGTTATGTAACACAAACAACATGTCTGTTTCACTGCAGACACACACTCACAAACACAGACTGTCTCTCTATCTTGCATTTTTATGCTATTTAATTAGAAACACTTATACTATCAGTATTTAAACAATATAATATTCAATATAAGATATGGGAAGATTCAATTGGGCAGTCCATTACAAAATGTCATTGCTTCATGATAATTGGTTACAAGTTTTAGCTAGCCTGTTACTGAATCTCATGACTGAAATAGCAGATAAAGTGGGGTAAAACCGACTGCTGTAGGCCACTTGCAATATAGTCTAACACATCAAACACCTATAGCAATGGCCACCTACTACAATTGTAGTGAACTTAACTTTGAACACAAATTGGTCATATAATAAAATAAAACATTGAATACATGC